CAGAGTTCATTTTCACCAGGAGGTTGCATGTGTTTGCCAGCACCTTCAGCAAATCAAACTACTTTCGTCTTCATCCTAAACTTGAGGCTGAATTGGCCCTTTTCATGTAGGTAAGAATGTAGGCCCAAGTTGTAGATAACGGTTACTCAGTAGGCCGACGCGTTATCCACGAGGCCATCTCAGACTTGCAGGGTAAAAAAGGCATGCAAATCTTTGTCAGGCAAAATTCCTTGTTGAAGAATCACACCACTAAGCTTAAAACGAGATGCTGTGTGAAATGTTTTTATGATTAGTGGAGAGGGAGTCATGTGAGAGGGGTTTGGTAAATTGAGAATGAACTCCAGACCAACTGTCGTCTGCCTGTGTTGACGAGATCGTAATCATCTGTGAGGTTTGTTTTGTGGTTAGAGCAGACACCTACGATTCTAAACAGAGCTAACAATCTGTCGTGTTTGAAAGCTCAATTTGGTACGATTCAAGTACCCCATGTTCTGAGTCATTGTGGAACCGAACTTAATTGGTTTCATTAATAAAGTTTGTTCATTCAAACCCATTGCCTCTGCCGACGTGAGTCACGAATTTTGAGCAGTGTGGAGGTCATTAATTCGCAGATCCAACCTGATGTTCAAGTCACCGTGTCCGGTTAACGTGACTGAGCGAAACTCGCACGCACGCACGCAGGATAGTGGACGAGGGGCGTGCGTGATCACGTGACGCCATCGCTGAGGATTCTGAGTGGCCAGTTTTTAGGGTCGCGAGCATAAATACCCTCTGACCTGTCAGGGCGATCATTCGATTTAAACAACATGCGTCGCCTCCTTATTCTTCTCGTTTGTGCCTTGGCATTCACAGCTGCCGAAGGTAGGTTCCCAATAACTTAAATACTCTGCAATTTCTTAAATTACTCCTCAAGATATTGCACTTTTTTTAAAAGAAGTCACAGTAGCTCTTCTCAAAATGCTACCAAAGACGATTCTAGTCTGTTATAAAGAATGTTGTCCGCTAACACTAGCAGAAACATGGCACCAGTATTCCCACAGCCTTGGTGCATTAATTTTGTAGAGAAGTGCTCACAGTTGGGCGAAAAATGCGACCGCACGGTCTTCAACCCCTGCTGCGGTGACCTCAAGTGCGTGCTGAAGGGTTTTGCCGACGGCAAATGCCAAAAGTGCCTGCCCGAGGGCCACTTCTGCTTCTACGATTCTGACTGCTGCAGTGGAGACTGCGCGTGGTACCGTTTCTGCCGATAAGGCCCTGAATTCAGACCTCTCTCCTAAAGCGACTTGGGTGATGCCGGATCGAATTGATTTTACCCTCTTCTTACCTCCCAATTCCACCTAATTGTTTTCTACAGTAAACTTTGGCTACTACGATTTATGACTTCTTCTTTAATGAGAAGCGCACACTGTATTTGCAACTAATCCAACTCTAAACGTTATTGAAAATTATTAATCGCGTTTTTGAAGTGGACCGCGATATTTGTGAGAAAGTGCTTTGGTCTAGCTGGTGGAAAAAAATTCGGATTTTGGTAAATGGTGGTTTTATAGCACAAGCTGACCAACTCTGCCTCAGCCAATCAAAATGTCGATTAGGATTCGAATAAGCCACGTTTAAATTATCGATTAAGCAGAATCCCGATTTAAATACTGGGCCGTTGAACAAAGCTCACATTGACGAATTTGACGCATTTTTTTTTAAATTTCCTCTGGAGAACTGTGATTCGAATAAAAACAGTCTATTTAGTATTCTACTGAGATGTTACTGAAATGAGAGGAGATTTTCAAAATAATTAATTCTTGCTGAAAACACTGCCGTTTCTGTAGATGTTTGTGGACGCACAGTTAACTTTGAATCAGGTTAACTGATTTGTTGTAAAACGCACCAAATTTACATTCCGTTAACAACAGCTTGTCGTAAATCCTGTTTATTCAACCCCCTAATCCGGTCGCTCCACCTCCTTCACAGGGTTCCCCTTTCTCGCAGCATGGCGCCAGTCGTGTGAATCATTACCCCCCTTTCATTAGCACGAATATTTATCTTGGAGCATCCCCGCACCTAGGTCTCGATGTTAGCGCACGTATGACCCACACATCCGACGTATAAATACACACGCGCGAATCCCACACTCGACACAACGACACCAACGAGGTTGAGCTCTGAAGTAAACGGTTATGTCCACGTCCTCTCAGGTCTTTTTCTTCATCGCGGCTATCAGGGAACCGTAATCGGGCCAGGGTTAATTCCGTGGCCCCGACGTGGTTTACGACCCCATGCTGGGGCCCACAACAAGCTCTACTCTCTGAAGTCACGCAAACCCCTTTGGACAATTCGAAAACTGTGGTTAAGTGTCCAAAGCTGGGGGCAACACCCATCAACTTCCAATGTAGAGGTCGATTGGATCATGATTAGCTGACAACACCGTGTTGTTCTAGTGCGCACTGGTTTTCAGATCTCACCAAATGAGAAGGACAAAAATGGCTTCTATGTGATTGTTTACCCCTTAACACAAGTAAACAGCCTAAATACAACCGTTGGTGAACGGTGATTAAGGACTTCATATTAGGCCAATCGGCTTCAACCAATGAAAATACTGCGTTTAAATTATCGATTTATCATAATCACGGTGCAACGCAACTACTACGCTTTATTAAATTGTTTTAATTTTAGCACACTTGTATTCTTTTTGTGGTGGTTATTCACTCTGAAGTCACACCTAATCATTAGGATGCTAACATTGTTGTTCAAGTACAGGCGTTTTGTGCCATCTGCGTCGATTAGATTGCCGGGAAATTCAAAACTGCCCAATTCAAACTTTTTCGAGGGTTAATTGTGATGCCTTCACCTTTACGTCGGGTGAACATCTGCCGTGGGTGCTTCACCCGTTCGTCACCGCTTTTGCAGGGGGATGAAAATGTCATCAGTGTGGAAGAAGACAGTCAAGACCACGCAGAACTCGGTCCATGAATCTCGGAAAAGTGGGTGCCGTGTTGCGTAAACTGGAAGGCATTCGAAGGAACTTCTTTGGGGGCGACAGTTATCTGATGATAGGCTCGGACATGATGGAGTCTTGATAGGACTTTAACGCCGTTGAAATCCAAGATAAGTCGTGGTTATGAGGAATGGGGTACTGGTCAGGCACTGCTCCATTATTCAGGGCCCAGTAATCACCACAAAGTCTCTGGTCTCCGGATGTCTTAGGTACCTCGTGTGAACCGCTGGAAGGAAGGATTATGCCATGACGGTACATATGCTCAAATTCTGCCTTGACTGCGCCGAGCTTTTCAGGCGCAAGTCGTCTGGCCACAGTGATTGTTGGAGGACCTTTAGTCACGGTATGATAGATGACTTGGTGAGTAGGTTAGCAGAGCGCCTGATCCACCTTGACCTTTTCGAAGAAGTCCTTCAGAAGTTTTTCATACGTGTTAGAGTCTGACAATGCCAGGAGGAGTCCAATTGAGTTTGTTGATGCAGAGACTCCTGGAGCTGCTAGCGTTGCATTTGAATCCACAAGGATTTGTTTTAAAATGTGTTTTTCCACACTCGTTAAACCTGTCGTTCCAGCCTCCGACACGAGGTCCACCGTTTCGCAGCACGTCGCTAGCCTCGCGTATCCTCAACTCCCTCCTCATTCGCATATTTATCTTAGATTATCCTGACACCACACACGACACAACGACACCAACGTGGTTGAGCTCCGAATTAAAGATCTGTGTCCACGTCCTCTCCGATCTTTTTCTTCATCTCGAGTATCAGGGAAACGTAATCGGGCCAGGGTTAATTCCGTGGCCCCGGTGTGTTTCAAGGTCACATGCTAGGGCACACAACAGTTTCCTTGTGCCATATCAACCAGTAGACCGGTATGAGAAAGGAAATCGGCACCAATTGTTGGGCGCTGAACACCAGCCACGGTAAAAATGAACACAAATTTTCGCCTTAGGCCAGAGATTAAAAGACTTCTAGCAATGAAAAGTGCCTTCTACATTCAAGGGTTGTGTTTTAACGAATGATGGTTGCTGAAATGGTTTGGCCACAACGGCAACCGTCTTCTTGTCTGCAACGAGAACTGTGGTAGTACCATTGCATAACCATAGTTAAATGGCGGATTTTGTTAAATGTGGGGGTTATGAGGTACTGAATACAGTGAGATGACCTTGCTGAATCATTAACTCAGAAGAGTTCAGTATTATTTACCACGAAATGTATGGTCAAATCCCAATTTCGTGTGGAAATTCGTGGTGAGAAATCGGATAAGCGAACAGCAGCTGTACAATGCTTGACGTCACACCTCTCCTCAAGTGCTTATTTCTCAATACATTGTGTGTTTTTTTCTTTATCTTGCAAAATTTCTGCAGAGAAATGCAAAGGGTTTGGCGAAAAATGCGACTTCACCGTGTTCAATCCCTGCTGCGATAACCTCCACTGCGTTCTGGAGGGCTTCGCTGATGGCACCTGCCAAAAGTGCCTTCCAAATGCCCATCTCTGCTGGCACGATTCGTCCTGTTGCAGTGGCAGCTGCGCGTGGTACCGTTTGTGTCGATAGGGAACCCGGGTGATGCCGAATCGACGTGACGTTCTACCTCCTTCCTGCCTTCAATTCCACTTGATTGTGTGCAGCAATAAAATGTGGTCACAAGGACTTGTGACTTGTGTTGTGCGAGAAGAGTAGGGTGTAATCTGAACTACTGCAACAGCTACAGGCGGATGTAAATTTTGCCAAGTGAAATCTCTACTAGGAAGGGAGTGGCGATATGGTTGTTGTGAAAGTGCCTGCTGCGGTTGTGGTGCGATACCCCAAGTGGTGAAAACGCACACCAGCGCATTACCAGACTACTCGTCACTAGTGGCAACAGAGTGGCCTGTGTGTGGGGATTTAGTCCAAGACAAATCGGCACTCGGTGGATAATGATTACGGACTGCGCTTTGTCCGAATCTGCCCTAACCAATGAGAATGCCGATAGGAAGTGTAGAACTGGCGCGTCTAATTAATCGACTAAACAGTGCAGCGATTGAGACGTTGAACAGCGATCACTTTGTCGACTGTGGCCCTATTTCCACCAGACACTCGACGACGGCAGTACTTATAAAAGAAGTGTGGCGATGTCTAAGGGCGCAGACATATTGGACCACTCTGGCCTCAGGCAATTCTGTGTTGCTCTGCATTCCAATGGCATGCGAGGACGTTGAGCAGCCAACCAGCGAAGGACACTAATGAGGAGCAGTATATACAAAGCGGCGTGGCCAGCGAGGCGGACTCGGGTGGATGGCGCCTGATGTGTGGTTCTGGCTTGTGATTGGTCAATAAAACCTGTTCTGTTGTACCAGTCCTATTCATGCTAGGGCTCGGGTATTCTGCAGAAGTTAATTTCACATACCTCGTGTCGCATTTTTCCAACATGTTCCGAAAAATTGAGTTGTTATCCAAAAGATCTAATTATGCACAAACGCTGTCGTTCCTGTAGCTACCTGGGTCACACAATTAATTTTGATCAAAGTTAATTGATTCCTTGTAAAACGCATCAAACGTGCATTCCATTGGCTACTGCTATCCTCCATGTAGCGACTTAAACCTCTAAGGATGTCTCCAAATCATGACGGTGGTGATGACGAAGTCGATAGCACCAAGATTTGTCTGGTCATTGAAACATGCCTTTCTCGTGTTTTGTAGGGTACGTGGAAGCCATTTTTGAAATAAAATTGTTCGAAGGATGTGATAGTCAAAGTGTTTTAGCAACGTCGTGCGTTAAGGCAGTTTCGATTGATGTCACCTTTGCTCCAATGTTGAATCGACTTTCTAAAGCTAGAATGTTCGTCTTTACGCGGTTATAATCGCTCGATCTTCCGGTGAAAGGCTCCATTGTTCGTCCACTTGCAAACACTTGTTTTACAAGCTGAGACAAGAAGGCATCGTTACCGAGAGATTATGAGTAGAGCAGATGACTACTGGTGTGGAGTGTGGACATTAACACACTTCAAGTTATTCGCGCCCCCGCATACACTTGTACTCTGGCAAATAAACACCTAATTCACATAAATACGCCCACACGTACGCCAACGCACACACACACACACATACAGATGTCCCAGTCGACGCCCACCAACCACACTTTTAGTCAACACACGTATCACCGCACGTGCACTGACCTCGCTTGGAAATCTCACAAGCACACTCGCCACACATGCTAATATCATATGATGAATAAATGTGCAAAAGGAATGTGTATTTCACACGTACACAAATCACACATTTATACCACACTCGCACACGCACACACACACACAGACGCACAGAAACAAAAACGCATGGCAGCGGAATATATGCGTCTAGAACTTCGACATCGTTCCATTAAATACATTCGTCAGGCCTCTAAGAAACGTAATTTCCCTATATCTAAATACCCATAAGCCTGACGCGTTCTTGATGTCCTCAATTTGAAATGAAAAAAAATTCAAGTTGTTGTTCATTTTGATAAAAGAAATGCAGATATAGAGGCAGGAGATAGCAGCAGTAAACCAATAATTAGCTACGGAAGATGTTTAAGAACGTTTGATCATTTTAAATACGGATCAGTGTAGCCTTCTTTTTGTAAACGCCTCCTGTGCGAATGTGACCTAACCCCTTAAAGTACCACCACGGA